CACCATGGAGAGGAGTCAAGAGCTGTCCTTGTGTCACTGCTGCTCCAAGCACATGAAGGAGGGGTGTCAGATGGCCTTATCAGGCAGCAGATCTAAAAACAAAGAGAAGGAAGTGTTTTTTCTTCCATCAGATAATTAAACTACGGGAGTCGCTGACCAGGATGTTGTGGGTATTTATCCTTAAGGGATAAATGGATTCAAAAAGCAATTAGGCAATTTCCTGGATGAAGATCTCTCTGAGGCCATTAACCACTGGGATGTAAATACAACTCTGTAAATACTGGTCCTGTTCCTCCTCCTCCTCGCCTGAGCACTTGACAGGCAGAGACAGGAGTCTGGGCCACAGGGTTTTGGCCAGAGGCATCTGCTCTGTCTGTGCCACTGCAGTCACTAATGGCCCTGCTGACATCACACTGGGTGAATTTGGGTCATCTTCTCCCATTTTCCAGCCAGGGGATGGAGGGACAGAGGAGCTGAAGGCTTTCAAAGGGTTTGTGTGAGAGGTAATCCACATGCCCTGTATTACCCCGTGTCTTTCTGGTACCTGCGCATTAACGTGGCCACAACCTCCTTCCTCCCACTTTAAAAACAGCTGGAAACAACTGGGCAAATGATGTTCTGCCTCCAGCAACTCTGATGGGCACTGCTGTTATTCCCAGTGTTGTTATTCCCTTGCTGATTGTCTCCAATTTGCACAGAGCTCACCAACATGAAAATGAAAGCAGCGATGACTTGCAGGGATTGTGCATCCACCTAATGAGGATCAGATGAGTTGTTCTCCCACCCCCAGAGCTTCTCCCACCTCGGAAGATTTATGTGGCTGAACATGTTTGTTCTGATCAATGACTGTGCTGCAGACACGAATACAAATGTAGAAGAGAGATTACACTTTTGATCCAAAGCCCACTAAAGGCAGCAGAAAGGCTCCTGATGCTCACAAAAAAAAAAAAAAAAAAAAAAAAAAAAAAAAAGAGGTTTTGGTCACAGTGAAAAAGATTAAATTTTTGGTCAGCTTCAGTGAACAAAGCACCTTGTTAGGCAGTGACAGATTTTATACAACCCACAGCTATTTATCAGTGAATGTATCATTGCTTTCACCTCTCCTAATGGGAGGATTAACATGTTTAAGGCAGAAATTCAGCACCAGATCTGATTTGTAGCGTTTGCTTTTCACTCATCTTCGAGATGACAAGAAACATGAAACAGAAGCAAAGCTGCTATTTTTAGTTTGGTTATTCCAATCCAGAAACTTGGCACTTAGAAGGAAAAGCAGGAGCAGGTATCTGGTGTGTGTTGCTGACCAGGATTGTTTCAGCACCAGGATGCAGGAGCCTGAAAAAGCAGCCTTTAATAATTCTTCGATCCTCAGAGTCATTAACCTGAGCGTTCATTAAATTAGCGTTACTGGAAGCATCACAGAGCTGAGATAATTGTCCCAGCACTCAAAAACTCGCTCCTCCCACACCCTCTCCTACACAAGGATGGAAAACCTTGGGCCGGCATTCCTGAAGGCTTAAGGTGGATACAGGGATATTCAGAAATGTCCGAGGACTGAGTTTATCCTCTCCATCTTTAGTCCATAAACACCAAGCTCCTGATTCATGCAGGCTGCTGCTATAATGATGTGAGATTATCACACAGAGAGGATGATTTGGCCCATTTTGTGATAAAAACCTCATGTTAAATAGCTGAAATTAAATGGATATGAGAGTAGCACCCAGGAAACAGAGCAGCCCAGCCCGTGTGGAAAGAGATCAGTATTTGGGTGCCAGGGCTTGTGGATTAGGGAAATGGATTTGCAGCTGCTGCCTGCAAGTTTTAAATAACCGATCCCCCAAACATCCCCATTTCCCCACCAACCAGGCAGGGAACCGAACGGACGTGGCTAAAGAGGAAAAGAAGGGAAGAGCAGATCTGGTTTGAGAGGGAAGCAGGGTTTAAATGGGGATCTCTGGCTCTGCCTCTGGTCTGCATCCCTGCCCTGACCGTGATGCAATAATTCCCGTGGGGACAGAGACAGGGCATCAAGAATTCACTGCTGCTCTGGGAAGGAAGATCCTTTACAAGTGTGAACAGCCCCCGAACTGGAGCTAAAACTGATCTGTGCAGGGGCTCGGCTGGTGCTGAAAAATCTCCTTTTTTTTAATTTTTTTTTTTATTTTTTTCTTTTATTTTTTGGGGTTTTTTCTTTTTTCTCTTTTCCCTTGTTTTCCTTTTTTCTTTTTTTCTTTTTTTCCTTTTTCCATTTTTTTCAATTTTTTTTCTATTTTTCTTTTTTCTTTTTTTTCTTTTTTCTTTTTTTCTCTTTTTTTCTTTTTTTCTTTTTTTTCTGGTTTTTCTTTTTTTCTTTTTTCTTTTTTTAATTTTATTTTGCTGCTGGGAAAAGCTACAGCGGAGCATCCTGAGCTCCCGCTCTCCAGACTCCACTGGTTATCCCGGTGTTGGAGGCTCCCAGCGCCTTCCTCTCGCCTCCAGGATAATCAGGATAATGCCTTAGCCCATTCCTGCCCCGAGAGGATCTGCAGTGAAATCCCTGGGAATCGAATCATGTGTGGATGCTCATTCATTCCAACGGGATGCCACCACGGCTCCAAGGTCACCTCTGTGGTTTTCACTGGAATTCTTGGCTGAAATTGGGTCGGAAAACCTCTTTTACATTCTCAGTCTGAAGAGGGTCCAGCAGCACTGCTTGAGGTGCAAGGGTGTGGCTAAAGTAACAACTAACAATGTTGGTTTTATGTTTGGACTCAATAATCTGAAAGGTCTTTTCCAGCCTTAATCTCTGGTTTTTGTTAGTCCCTTCCAGCTGTGGATAGTCTGTGATTCTATAAACATTTCCTCTGCATTTATCTTAATTTTTAACTCCTGAATGAATACTGAACTAGAAAAAAAAAAAGTAAAAAAGAAAAGATAAGAATATTAATGACCAGAGCCCTCCAGCTACTGGAGTGGGAATTCAGCCATAAACTTGAGCGAGTGCTGATGAGCTGCAGAGGGAACTTCAGCCCCTTCCTTGCCCGTTAATTAATGTGTGTTAGCTCAGGGTAGCTGCTAGAAGAAGAGGTTCCATCCATTAATGACAAAGATGTTTCCCAAAGTAGTGTGCAAACAGGGAAGGACAACATTTCCCAGTAAAGTTTGCTGTCTTGGGAAACGGATTTGTATTGAATTTGTTTACCATGAGTGCTGGTTAGGAAAGATGGGAAAAAGATTCAAGCCCACTGTGGAAGGAAAGTTCTTTATTGCAGGGACTGCACAGCACTGAAGATGTTCTGGAGTCCCAGACTGGTTTGGCTTGGAAAGATATTAAAAATCCTCTAGTACCTTCCACTATCCAAGCTCCAAGCCCTGTCCAGTTTGGACACTTCCAGGGATCCAGGGACAGTCACAGCTTCTCTGGGCACCCTGTGCCAGGGCCCCCCCACCCTAATAGGGAAGAATTCTTTCCCAATATCCCATCCATCCCTGCCCTCTGGCAGTGGGAAGCCATTCCCTGTGTCCTGTCCCTCCGTCCCTTGTCCCCAGTCCCTCTCCAGCTCTCCTGGAGCCCCTTTAGGCCCTGGAAGGGGCTCTGAGCTCTCCCTGAATCCTCCAGGTGAGCACCCCTAGGTCTCACACAGCCTTTCCTCAGAAAAGTGCTGCACCAGCCTTGGGGGGATTTTTTCCTGCTTTCTCTTCTCCCTGGGTTTGTGTCCAGAGATTCCAGAGCTGGTGCTCTGGGTGCTCCAGCTACAGCAGCCATGTTGAAGATTGCAAGGCAAGTTGTTTTCAATTACCATCTGTATGGCAGATTACCTTTGTCAAGTGGGCAGTTTGCCTTATCTATCTCTTTGAGTGACCACAATCACTCCTCCCTCGGGAGGGAACATCTGCTGATAACAGCTATTGAATGTCACTGCATGACTGATAAGAACTACAACATCCCATTGGGAGATGCTCCACACAGAGGGAGGAGCCAAGAATTCCTACCCAGATATAATCCAGAAGTTTTTGAGACAAGGGCATGGCTTTCTTCACGTGTTTCCCCAGAGGAACAGCAGCTGTCTCTCCTTCCACTGGATCTGCAGAGGAAGAATACATCCTTCTGTCCTTCTCTACAGATCCCCCTTGCTCCAACAGAACCACACCTGACACTGCAGGAGGGCTGCAGCCACAATTCCAATGGGACTGCCACCAACACAGGGTGTCAGGTTGTGTTCTGACTCTGTCAGTGTTGTTCTAGTGTACTGCATTGTTTATTTTATCCTTTATTTTTTTTCCCTTTTCCCTATCAAAGAACTGTTATTTCCTGCTCCCATATTTTTGCCTGAGAGCCCCTTAATTTAAAATTTATAGCAATTTGGAGGGGTGGGGAGGGTTTACACTCTCCATTTCAGGGGAGGCTCCTGCCTTCCTTAGCAGACTCCTGTCTTTCCAAACCAAGACAAGCCACCAGGAGAATATTCCTCTTTTTGAGGTGGCTGCAACCTGCATTTGAAGCCTTTCCCACACTGGGTGAGTGGTCCTTGCAGCAGCAGGAAAGTTTTCAGGCAAGTGACTGTGGCTTCAAGAAGGATTTGTCAGGATTATTGTTCATCTGCTGCCCAGTTTCTGGCTGCCAGCCCCCAGAATTCACAGTGGCAGGTACCCAGCACCTCCAGCAGAAGCTTTGCAGAGGAGACAAGGACGGAGGGAGCAGTCACAGCAAATGCTCCTTTTCTCTCTGGGATGGTGTCTCTTGCTGACAGCTCTCAGGTGTCCTGCTGGGGCCACAGGAGCATGTGGAAAAGGCTGGGAATGACAGCGACTCAGTGCACTGAGCCAGAGCTTGGGACTGATCTCCTCCTCTTGTCTCCTGTATCTATTTATTCTGCAGGATCTGTGAAATTTCGAATCCAAATTCCCTTTTTTTCCCTCCCCAAATCCTCATAATCCTGGGACAAGAGATTGATTTTCTCACTCAGGCTGCTCTGAGGGACCTGAGGTTGGACCCAGCTGTAACATTCCTGCTTCTGCCACAGGTGGACAGCGGGGGACCTGTGGTCTGCAGCTACTGGGACACCATGAAGTGGTTCCAGGTTGGCATCATCAGTGGAGGAAACCCAAACCACAGGATTTTGACACCTGTTTACAGCTACCAGAAGTGGATTGAGAAGGAAACAGCCATAAGGGGAAAACCATTCTTCACTGAGGGTGTGGACAGTGGAACACATATCAGGGTTGTTCGTTCCAGGGCTGGAACACAGGTGGTATTTCTGGGGTATTTTCTCCTTTTATTAATCTTTTTAATAGCAATTAAATTACCCTGAGAAAACATTTTTGAAAATAAAAGTCAGAACTCCCACTTCATTCTTTTTTTCCTCAGGCCAACCTGCTCCATGTCACTGACATGGATACAGGGACCAACAGGAGGTGTCACAATGAGACAGGGAGGGAGGCAGAGGGTGGAGAAATGAAATGAGAGGCAGGATTTGGGCAAGAAGGGCCATAATCCTCTGGAAAACACAGATATTCCACACTGCTGGGTCACACTGGACTCAGTTGTTTGCTAAGCTCAGATGTGGCATCTGAAGGTGCTGATCTTCTTGGAAAGTTGAAACCCAAAGGAAGAGATCCACTCACTCATTATCATTAGTTGCTGTAGGATAGCTCTGGGCTTTTGAATCTTACAGATTAGCTGGACTAATTTATTTTAGTCTGATTTTAACTGATTTTATTTTTACTAAGAGCACCCACAGAGAGCTCAGCCCCTGCTCAGGTGCTGTCAAACTTCTGGGACAGAACCACTGAGGTACTGGAAGAGGTTGCTCAGAGAAGCTGTGGCTGTCCCTAGATCCTTGGAAATGGCCAAAGCTAGTTTGGATGGGGCTTGGAGCAACCTGGGATAGTGGAACCTTAAATCCCATCCCATGGCTCTAGTTGGGATGGGATTTAAGGTTCATTCCAACCCAAATAATTTTAGGATTTTGTGATGAGAGAAATCTTTGGGAGCTGTCCAGAAAATGCTGCCTACAAAAACCCTTCAGTCTTATAAATAATCAGAATTAATCCCTTGCAAGTCAATGGCAAAGCAAAAGGAAAGAGATTTTTTCCCCCACTCTTTTAGAAGTGGGTTTTTTTCTGAATTGCTGAGAGCTTCACATCCCCGCTCCACATCCCAGCCTGAGCTGGTCCTTCACATCCTTCCTTTATTGATCTCCAGTATTCCCAACATGTTCTGCTGCTCACAAGGAGGTTTCAGCTTTTCTTGGAAGTGATGGGGAAGGAGGGAGGCAGCAAAGTCCCCTTCATGTCCCACCTTTGCATAAAAGCACCTGCAATTTGCAGCAATGATAAAACCCAGTGAATGTGCAATGGGACAGAACCTCACAAATTGGTTTTAATTACCTTGATATTTTCTGGCTAGCTGGCAGAAAAGCCTTGTAAATGAGAATTAATTCATTTACCTTAAGCTAATGCAAACCCATCTTGGCATAAAAGTCAGGCTTTATTTTCTGTGTTATCTGAGCAGAAAATAATGCTTAATTATTATTAGTTCTGAGTAATGCTTATGAAAATTGCTCCACATTAATTTCACATGGCTGACTGGCTAATGGATGCATAAGGGTCTTGTAACCCTTTGCAAAAAGACTAATAAGAGCTAAAAACAAGGGGAATATATTACTTTAACAGCTATTAGTAGCAGACAGAGTCTGCTGGCATTAATACCTATATTTATTTTCCTTTCTATTAATAATATATCAACAGATTCTGGAAGCCATGGACATCAGGAAATATTTCCTAATGTTGCAATCTCTTCAGCTGCGGAATTGTTTCCCCCAGAGGAAATGAGAGAAGTCCTCCTGCTTAAATTATTTTAATGTAGGGGTTGTATAAAGCACTTTTGTCTCCAGCACATGGCAGGGAAAAAGCCTGGGCTTACAGGGGCCTGCAAAATGACCCAGTAGGTCTTTTCCATCAGAAGCATTTGCAAATTGATCATGGTCTGTGCTAAATGAAGGCAGGGCACTGCTGCTCTGGGCTTTGATTCATCCTGCTCTTTATTTATTCAATGGATTTGGGGATAACTTTGAGCTTGGTGCCTCAATTTCCCCGCTTGTAAATTGAGAGCATGAAAGACTCTCGCTTTCCTAGGTGGAGTATCACTTCTGCAAGTTCAGACCAGCAGAGAAATAAACAGAAAAAACCTTTCCCTCCTTATTTAAAACATCATAAAACTCAGTAAAGTGAATTAATCTCTGTTACTTCTTCCACTGTTCAATAATTAGGGTGAGAAAGGACATGTCTGTTTAACTTTCCAGGCTGCAATTAAGTCTGATGAAAACGTCTTGATGCTGTGTTCTTTTCTGAGGGTATTTGGGTTTTCAGGGAATGTTCTGATTGTGGACTTGACAGGAATATTTTGGAGTCACTCAAAATCAAAATGCAGCTGTTCAATGGGACACATTATTTTTTTAGCTTTCCAGCATTGGTGTAAATGTTCATTATGTTATAGCATTCTGTATTTGCAGAATCCCAAAATGGTTTATGTTGGAAGGGACCTTAAAGATCACCTTATTCCACCTCCTGCCATGGACAGGGAGAACTTTCACCATCCCAGGTTGCTCCAAACCCTGTCCAACCTGGCCTGGAACACTTCCAGGGATCCAGGGGCAGCCACAGCTTTTTTTTTTTTTGGGTTTAGAACATCAAAATGAAACATTTCCGTGCTGAAGGGCCTCAACATTTATGTTTCAGTCTGTAGCTGGCAAAACTCACTTCTTGTCCTAACTTACAGCTCTTTTCTTATTGCCCCTCCCTTCTTTCCAGAGACAGATTTTGTTTGCATCACTACACCTCTAGCAGCAAATAAACAGGATATGGAAATGCTTAGAGACCTGGGAAAACATCTGTAAGAGGATTCAGGAGGAAAAAAAATAGGAGGATATGAGTACTCAAGCAGAGAAAAGAGATGGTCAGGAGCTGCTTGCACGTTTTGCTGAGGAGATAAGAAGAAAAGCCCCCCTGAGCACTGAAGGGAGCAATTTAAAAGCCAATACATCAAAGTTATTTTGGCTTGGTTCTGCAGAGATTAAGGGCTTTGTGTACCCACTTTGTGTTTCCCTGTCTGCCCAATCCCAGCTGGAGCAGGGAGCTGGGGGAGTGGAAGATGGTGATGTTTGTACAAATTTGGCAGCGAGAGCTGGTGGAGGTGAAGGGTGGGGAGGGCTCCAAGCACTTTTGTGTGGCTTCCACCCCAGAGAAGGAAGGTGGGAAAAGCAGCAATCCCTGGTCACAGGTAAGTGCTGCTGGAGAAATCCAACCTTTACTCATCCTCTTGGTGGAATTGATCCACCCATCCCATCCTGTCCATGGGATGAGCCTTAGGGTCCCTTCCAACCCCAAATATTCCATGATTCTGTGATTCAAGGGGATGATCCCACACATGTCATCCAGCTCCTTCTCAGTAGATGTCATCTGGGAGATCTAAAGACAAAGCAGTTGTCCTTGTAGGGGACTGAGGTTTCCCATTTTCTTCTTTCCCAGCCTGGATTTCTTCACAGGGGTAAAACACAATAAAAAACCCAGGTTTGTCTTCTGCTGCTCCCCTCAGCACCCCTGGGGTATTTTCTGGGGTCCCCTGGGGCAGGAAGAATGAATCTGACTCCATGTTCTTAGAAGGATATTATAT